CATTAATTCTATATGTAATTTGCATGTCTATGTGTGATTGCTTTAGGATTATATTCTACATTAAATACTTCTTGTAGTTGTGTTTAGTGATGGCCATAACACGATACTTATTCGATACAACTGTCAATTAATTTGATGGATAAAGGCTTAATCTTGATAGGTTGTTCTACAAATTAGCTTTCTTGTTATTAGTTAATTGTAGTTAAGCAGGCAATTTGTGCTTGATTATGTTAATCCATGCTTCTAATTACAATTAGTATTATTCTCCTGATTGACGTGTGCTCTTATTTGATACATTTGTGAATGTGTATGGTGGGTTATGACGTAGTCTTGAATGGGTTCTACACTTTAGTTTAATTATCATTAAGTAGACAACTCATTCTTAATGTTGATAATCTATGCTTACAATTGTGATTTGTGATGATAATGTGGCTACATCTATAATTACACTAATGAATTCCCCATTAATTGAAAGCATGTGGTTAATTGCATGAGCTTAGTGGTGAATCCTAACCCTAAGACTCTCTTCATATCTCTTTAATTCTTAGTTTAATTTAATTTACTTTACTTAAAATATCATTTCCATTTCCTTGCTTTCAATTGAACTCTAGTTTAATCACTCCACCAAAATCTTTTTCTCTCACAGTCTTTCTCTCTCTTTTCTCTCTTTTACAATCTAATTAACTTTAAAACCAAGTTTAATCCTAACACGTGTTCAATCCCTTCGGTTCGATCCCTTCTCACTTCATACTACATAGTATAAGTGTCTAGCGGTTTATAAATGTAAACTATGATGCCCGCTTAATACCATTTCCAAAACCAAAGTGTGGTACATTATTTTGTGCACACGCTCGGGTAGCATCATAATTTTGGCGTCATTGCCAGGGATTGACGGTTTAGTTGGAATTGAATTAGGCATTAGGGTTAATTTGATTGTTTTCTTTAAATTACTATTTTCTTACAAATCCCTCTTGTTCAATTAGGTACTTGAAAAGAAGAGGAGCAAGCATTGGATCTTAGCACGATTGTGACGTTGTTGCTACGGACTTTCGTGAGCTTCCTTGAATTTCTTTAACTATAATTGTTCAATTCCCTACATGCTTGCGAGATAGCCCTTGTCGAGGCTATCACATTGTTTAAATTCTTGTCCAAGCATAAGCCCAAAATGAGGCTATTACTTTCTTGATAGAAAGCATCGGCCCGTGTGGAGGCAATTTAATTTTGTGCATTGATATAACATGGGAGTATGGGAACATCGTATGTGGAGGTGGTGAAATGTTGTTGATTGTTGTTGTGGTTTGTTGTTTCTAGGAGAATTCTTCCCATTCTTGACTATCCCAAACTTAATGGAAAATCAATTCTAAGATCTAGGGCATATGGATAATCTAGGTGAGTATCACCCTCTTAATGGGCATCCACCTCAAGGTGTGCATCCACCCTTGAGAATTCCACATCCTAATGTGTTTCCACAACCCAATCAAATACAACAACCTCCAATAATACAAATCCATCCTCAAGATCATGTAGTTTATCCCCCAAATCCTAAATTATCTCTTCGAGATCACTACACTCCAAATGAATACAATGCACCAACATGCATCAGGTTGCCAAACTTTCGGGCAAACCATTATGAAATCAAGCCCGCAACCATCCAAATGTGCCCCATTTTCTATGGGGTGAGCAATGAAGAACCACATAAACATTTGGATGAGTTTTTGGAAGTTTGTTCAACCGTGAAAATCACGGACCTTCCGGAAGAAGTCTTAAAAATGAAGCTTTTCCCTTTCACTCTTCGGGAAAAGGCTAAATATTGGTTCAATAACTTGAGGGCAAATTCAATCACATCTTGGGCTCAACTACAATATGAATTCCTAAAAAAAATTTATCCCGCAAGTAGAACCGATGCTATGAGAGCTTCTATCCGTGAATTCTCCCAAAATGTGGGAGAACCTTTACATGAAGCATGGGAGCGTTTGAACGATTTGCTACGGAAGTGTCCACATCACGACATTCCAAAGTGGCAGTTAGTTCACTACTTCTATGAAAGCTTATCCGATGCCCAAAAAGATATGGTTGATGCTTCATGTGGAGGAGCCTATTTGGACAAAAATGAAGATGATGTGTGGCATCTTTTTGATCGCATGAGCGAAAATTCAATGCATCGTTCTTCATCATCCCGATTTGGCCAAAATTTAAATGAAGGAGGGAAGAAAACCTCCAGTCTTTCTCGAGTGGAGAGTTCCATGGAAATTGCCGCCGAGGTAAAAAATCTGACTCTAAGGTTTGATAAATTTCTTTCGAGCCAAAACCCGGCAATTCAATCATCCAACTCTTTCCATTCTCAAAGTGTGATGTGCATGACTTGCTCTAGTTATACTCACAATACTTTCAATTGTCCTCTTGGACAAGTTTTTCCGAGTAAGTATCAAGAACAAGTCAATGTTGTTTTCATTCATCCGGGAAGTAATCCAAATTCTAACTCCTACAATTCCGAATGGAGTGATCCTTACTTCTCTTGGAGAAATCAAGGAGGAGGTATCATTCCTCCTCTTCATAAAAATTCTCAAGAAAAGTATTTACCTCCCCACCTCCGAAATGCGAACTCTCAAGCATACCACTCTCTATCTTATCTTCCTCCAAATGTGAATCAATTCTCCAATTCTCAATCTTCAAATCATCAATTTTACTCTCATCCACCTCAAGAGCCTCCTAGAAATTCCACTTTTGAGAACAAGGTTTTAGAAGCTTTGGGTGATCTTCGAAAGGAAAATCAAGTGTTTCATTCGCATTCTCAATCAATTGAAAAACTTAAAGCCCAAATTGGGCAAATGGTTCAAACAATGAAAGGGAAAGGGCCTATTCAACCCAAACTTAACCAAAAGGCATACTCCATTTCCACCTTGAGAAGTGGGAGAAAAATTGATAACAAAGTTGAGAGACCTAGTGAAGTTAGTGTTCTGGTGCAACCAAGTGTCAGCCCATTTACCATTCCCAATTCCATCCCTACTTCACTAGAGACAAATGGTCACATTAAGGAGCAAATTCCATCATCATCATCTTCCTCCCATGTAGAGAAGCCTTATGAGCCAAAAGCTCCATTTCCTCAAGCTTCAAACTTGACTCCACTTTCGAGGCAAGAAGGAAAAATCCATGACATGATGGAAGTTTTTAAACAAGTTAAAATCAACCTTCTTCTTCTAGATGCTATTCAACAAATTCCACCATATGTCAAGTTCTTGAAGGACTTGTGTACTCAAAAGCGGAAGAACAAGGGACCAAGCCCAAAGAAAGTGCTTCTCATGGAGCAAGTGAGCTCTATCATTAAGCTTAACACCCCACCTAAGTTTAAAGACCCCGGCGCGCCAACCCTCTCTTGTACCATAGGGAACCATGAGGTCAAAAGGGCTTTTCTTGACTTAGGGGCTAGTGTTAATGTTATTCCTTACTCCGTGTATCTTCAATTAGGTTTGGGAAACCTTAAGCCAACTTCGGTAGTTATTCAACTCGCCGATAGGTCTATAAAACAACCAAGGGGAATTGTTGAGGACATCCTCATCAAAGTTGATAAATTCTATTTTCCGGTTGATTTTGTTGTGCTTGACACTGAGCCGGTTCCCAGTCCTACCACTTATATTCCAATAATCTTAGGAAGACCATTCCTTGCCACTACTAATGCGACAATCAATTATAGGTACAGAATTATGGATATATCTTTTGGCAATATGATGGTTAAGCTTAATATGTTCAACACGAGCCAACATCCTATCAATGAAGGCGAGTGTTTCATGGTGAATGTCTTGGATGAAATTGTTGAAGAAGCTATTCCTTCCATTCATTCTAGTCTTTCTGAAGATCCTCTTGAGGCATGCCTCTCTCACTTCAATATGGATGCATTTGACATTGAAAGTTCCATATATGAAGTGAATTCTCTAATGGACTCCGTGGCCATCTTAGACTTCCCGCCATGGAAAAACTCAGAAGAACCTCTTCCTCCAATCACAAGTACTCTTTCTTATCAAAAAGAGGAAGAAGTTGTAAGTTCATCCAATGGCCAATCCAATTTATGAGGACATTCCTTGTAATATTGAGCATGAAGTCATTGAGGCGACCTTAGTGAAGGAGGAGAAAGTGATCAATGTGGAAGTTGACAAAAAGAATGAAGAGATTGAGTTTCCTAATAATCCAACCGAGTCTTTGAAAGACATTACCTTGCCAAGTGTAAGGCCGATCATGATGGACTTTATTTTCAAGACCGTGGATGAAAGGGAACAAATTGCATCTTCCATCATTTCTTTCCAAATCATTCTTTTAGGAGATGTATTCATTGTTGTGAGAGAATATCCATTGGGGAAAATTGATAAACGGATCAACGAGGGTGTCTCCTATCCGGTTTTTTATTCTTTCGACTAGTGAGTCACAACAACGTCTTGCTAGAGACGTTAAACACTTTTTTTTTCATAGAGTTTCCCGACTTTACTTCTCCCTCATTTCTCTTTATTTTTTCTCGTACATCTTCATCTAAATAAAATTTTATTTTATTTTCTTCTTTTACTTTATTTTATTTTTTGTATAATTCTGCTTTCAGAAATTCAAAAAAATAAAATAAAAAAAAAAAATTTTGTAATGGGTGATGTATGTTAGTATTTTATTTTATTTTTAATTTAATTTATTTTTATGTATATATTTCTTTTTAATTTTGCTTTGTTTAAAAAAATAAAATAAAAAATAAAGGGGATTGATTAATCCCCATGCTGGGCAGAAAGCACAAAAAAAAAAGGCCCTAGTGGATTGATCCCCCACCCACGTGGATCGAACCCCTTTGAACTTGTGCTTCCATTTTCTGTAACACAGTGAAGGGACAAATTTTTGTCTAAATTTATCCATACCTCACTTAAGGTGATCTAGCGCCTTATTCTTTAGCCTTGCCTTCCATTCACTGTCCTAAGCTTTAATTCCCAACTACATTCCTCTCTTCCCCGTCGAATTCCTCAAGCAAATTTCTATTCCTCCCCATAAATTTCTTCACCCAATTTTCTTCCTGGCGTTCGAGTGGAACACGAACCGAAATCTCCCGCTGTTCTCTTGTTCTCTTCACTCGTCGTATCTGTTCGCTGTTCTTCGTCGAATCTGGGTCGCTCTTCGGCAATCAAGGCTGTTTCGGCCTTTATTTTTTCGGCGTTGCGATCTCGGCTAGGACACTGTTCTTTTCTGATCGCGTCTGTTCTGTTCTTCTTTGGTCGCACCATCTGATCGTCTTTCCGGTGATCAAATCTGTTCGTATTCCGGCGTCGGATATGGGTCACGGCTGCTTCATATTCCAGCAATTTTGACTGGGCTTATGCAGCGATTCGCAGGTGGTTCTTCTCACATCGCAACTGGATTACGGATCTTTCTGGCCAGAATACGAAACGTCGTTCTCTAGCGATTTTGGCTGGATTTCTACTGGTTCTGTTTCAGATCTCGGTTGGGTCGCGATGGGTCGCTGTTCTTCGCTGATTTTTCTGGATTGCGTTTCCTTCCGGCGAATTTCTGAATCGCCGTTTTCTTCCGGCGAGCTTTTGAATCGCCGGGTTCTTCTCTGATCGCGATCGCGGCTGGGTTTTCGCCGGCGATTTCGGCTTGGTCGCTGCTTTTCTTCGGCGATCAAGGCTGGGTCTTTGCGGCGTCGCGGCTCTTCGTTGTTCTCGCCGGCGATTCTTGGCCGGTTTACCCAGCTCTGCCGGTTGTCTTCTCCGGCGAGCTTGTGATGTTTAAAAAAATAAAAAATAAAAAAAAGAAATGGAAAAAATTAAATAAATAATAAAAAAAAAAAGAAAAGAAAAAATAAATTAAATAAATATAAAATAAATTAAATATAAAAATAATAATAATAAATTAAATAAATATATATATATATATATATATAATTTATTCTTTTAAAGAAAAAAATTTGCATTCATGTTTTAAAAAAAATAAATAAATAATATGTATTCCCGTTATGCCCTTCTGCTTAGTTATACATGTTTTCATCTTTTACAAAGGGCTTGATATCATATCTCTTCACATCTTGTTCTATATTGTTTTGGAATGTATGCTTTACTTATCCCATTTGATATTTGATGTGAGTTGCTAGTGTGGCTTTTCTAGTAGGTTTTTGCATCCAAGTTTGGGGAAGACCTCTTTCGTCATGGATCATTGCCGGGCATCATTAACTTTTGCCATCACGGTATACTCTTTCCATTTCTTCCATTGTTCTCATTGCACATTGAGGACAATGTGCAGTTTAAGTTTGGGGGTAAGGTAGTCGTGTTACATTCTACTTTAAGTTGAGCTTTAAATACATAATTGAGATTTGAGATATGTTTGGCAATGATTTCGAACTTTTGAAACATAGTGCCATTGAAAAGCAAGTTGTTAGAGTCTAATACTTCTTGTATGCTCTATGATGCCATTTAGGGGTAAATTTTAATTTTTGACATCATGTTTGCTTTTGTAGTACACATCATCTTGTTGGTTGAAAATGCTTTAAAAGTTGATTCTAGAATTCTACACTTGCACTTGCGCACATTAGAATTCAATTTGTGGGGTGCATGCTTAGTTGATTATTGTCTTGATTTATCCCAATTGAGCTAGTATGCTTTGAAAGTTTTCATTCTTGATAAAATGATCTTGTAAAGAAAAGAAATAAAAGCACTCACCAAAGGTGAGGAAAAAAAAACTGCATTCTTTCAACATGTCATCTGATTAAAAAGGAAGACAAGGAAAGAATGTAAGATGTATGATTAGTTTGAATTCGTAGCCTAACCATTCCGAGTCATTACGCCCTTAGGAGTGTCTTTACACTTAACGCCCTAAGACCATCTGGTTTGGGAGTCGTTGGCTCAACGCTTGTTACATGGGGTGATTAGAGAGCTTAAGGAACTTGGACATTGCACATGGTCATACATAAAAAATAATAATAAAAAAAAAAATAATGAAATCAATAATAAAATAAATAAATAAATGTTTGATTGAATAACAAGGTTCATTCCATGTCTTAATGTCTGGTACTATATCTGTATGCTAGTTTAAGGGTAAGGCTATGCCATTACTTTGATTTGCTAAGATAGCAACACATTTTGATGCCGGTTCACTCAAAAAGGATGATAGAATTGATTCAATTTGCATGATTAATTAATTAATGTGTGAAGGACCATTTTTGCTTACATGATGTTAAAATGTTGATAATAGCTTAGAAATGGCAGAAATTTGCATACTTGAGGTAGTCTACTTTCAACACTTGTTTAATATGTGTCGTTGCTTCTCAAGTAAGAAAGAGCTTTTGATGTTTGTGGGTACCATTTCTGGAAACCCTCACGAGACTTCACTCGTCCACTAGGGGTAACCTAGGGGTTTAAAAGGCTTGTTGCATATCCTAAATGCAACCGTGATCCCTACGAAAGTGGTGTTATCTTTATTTGTTTTATTAGTTCATAGTTGTATATATGTTTGTTTCATTTTCATGCTTTAGTTCATTGCTAGGGACTAGCAATATCTAAGTTTGGGGGCGTGATAAGTGCTTAAATGTTGCACATTTCAGCACCTAAGTTAGGGTATTTCAGTCTTTGCATCTATCTTAATTTCATGTTTTAGTCCAAATTTATGTTTATGTGTATTTCAGGGTTATAAAGTTAAAATGAGTTAATTTTGGTTCACTAAAGCCTTTTTGGAGTCGAGCAAAGATATTCAGAAAAGCTCAGAAAATGGCAAAAAGGAGGTCGCAGCCCATTGCTTTATAGTGTGTTTATTCTTCAAAAGCGGTCAATCTCAGGCCTTTGATGATGTTCCCAAAGATGAAGAAGCAAACCAATGAGCTCGGGGCCAAAATGGAGCTAAATAGGACTTAAAGGAAATTTCCAACTCTTGGGGGATCGATCCCCCAGGGTGGGGGATCGATCCCCCAGGACTTGGCAATATTATAGGATTTTCTTATTGTTTGGGCTTATTTTGTGAACTATTGGGCTTTAATAGGGTTATTATTTAAGGCCCAGTGAGCCATTAGTTTAGGGTTAGTTTTTATTTTATTTAGGAGAGAGTTTTATTATTTTATTATTAAGTTTTTTTTATTAAGGATTATTTTTATTCTGTACCGTGATGTCTCGTTCTCTCTGGGAAAAAGGAAAAGCTACGGTTTGAAAAACATTTTTACAGAGGCTTTGTCTACAATTGAAGGAAGAAGAAGAAGGAGCCAAAAGATGGAGATGGAGCTTGTTGACACCATGATCATCTTCTCCATGAGCTAGTTCTTCACTTAGGGTTTGGATGAGCCCTAAGTTTATGTAACCCTAACCTTTGTATTTCTTTTCTTGGGGAATTATTATGTTGTAATTAAATTATATGGCCTTGTGATTTCTTTATATATACATGCTTGATTTGATAAATTAGGGTTTGTATTGATGAATTCTTCCATTGAAATCTCCAATTGATTGTATATCTATGTATGATTAATTAGGGATTTTATTCTTCATTAGATGATTAGAACTTTCTTTCATTAATTCTATATCTAATTTGCATGTCTATGTGTGATTGCTTTAGGATTATATTCTACATTAAATACTTCTTGTAGTTGTGTTTAGTGATGGCCATAACATGATACTTATTTGATACAATTGTCAATTAATTTGATGGATAAAGGCTTAATCTTGATGGGTTGTTCTACAAATTAGCTTTCTTGTTATTAGTTAATTGTAGTTAAGTAGGCAATTTGTGCTTGATTATGTTAATCCATGCTTCTAATTACAATTAGTATTATTCTCTTGATTGATGTATGCTCTTATTTGATACATTTGTGAATGTGTATGGTGGGTTATGACGTAGTCTTGAATGGGTTCTACACTTTAGTTTAATTGTCATTAAGTAGACAACTCATTCTTGATGTTGATAATCTATGCTTACAATTGTGATTTGTGATGATAATGTGGCTACATCTGTAATTACACTAATGAATTCCCCATTACTTGAAAGCATGTAGTTAATTGCATGAGCTTAGTGGTGAATCCTAACCCTAAGACTCTCTTCATATCTCTTTAATTCTTAGTTTAATTTAATTTAATTTAATTTACTTGCAATATCATTTCCATTTCCATGCTTTTAATTGAACTCTAGTTTAATCACTCCACCAAAATCTTTTTCTCTCACACTCTTTCTCTCTCTTTTACAATCTAATTAACTTTAAAACCAAGTTTAATCCCAACACGTGTTCAATCCCTTGGGTTCGATCCTTTCTCACTTCATACTACATAGTATACGTGTCTAGCGGTTTATAAATGTAAACTATGATGCCCGCTTGATACCATTTCCAAAACCAAAGTGTGGTGCATTATTTTGTGCACACGTTCGGGTCGCATCAGTTTTCTTCGATTACAAGAGTCTCAAATATCTCTTTTCGCAAAAGGATTTGAATTTAAGATAGCGCAGATGGGTTGAGTTCATGGAGGACTACGACTTTGAGTTGCAGTATCATCCGGGGAAGGCCAATGTGGTGGTTGATGCATTGAGTAGAAAGTCACGGGGTACTCTTGCCAGCATTTCCGTCCATAAATGGAAGATGCTAGAAGAGCTTGCAGATCTTGGTTTACAGTTGTGTGAGGATGTTTCACCGACTATCTTGTTTAGCCTTATGGCTCAACCGGCTCTTGTTAGCAAAGTTGTTGAGGCACAACAGGAGGATGGGGAGATGAAGTCCATCCACAATCAAATTTCAGGTGGCAAGAATGTAGAGGGTTGGACCTTGCATTCAGATAGTGGTCTCAGGTACAAAGGGAGGATGTTTGTTCCTTTGTCTTATCGTGACGCTGTTCTTTAGGATTTTCACCATTCTCGACTCGCAGTTCATCCTGGTGGTACGAAGATGTATCACAATTTGTGGAGATAGTTTTGGTGGAAAGGCATGAAACGGGGTGTTTCTCAGTTCGTGGCTAAATGCTTTATTTGTCAGCAAGTGAAGGCAGAGCATCAGAGACCGGCAGGTTTATTGCAACCACTACCAGTGGCAGAGTGGAAGTGGGAGCACATCACTATGAATTTCGTGATGGGACTTCCGAGATCCAAGCCAGGGAATGATGCCGTTTGGGTCATTGTTGACAAATTTACTAAGACGGCTCACTTTTTGCCTATAGCAATGACATATGACGTAGAGAGACTTAGTGGACTGTATGTGGGGTAGATTGTCAGGCTTCATAGGTTCTAGTATCCATTGTTTCAGATAGGGATCCCAGGTTCACGTCTCACTTTTGGCAGAGTTTTCAGGAGGCTCTTGACACGGGGCTTCATTTCAGCACGGCATTCCATCCTTAGACTGATGGTCAGTTGGAACGTACTATTCAGATATTGGAGGATATGCTACGGGCTTGCAATTTGGATTTTGGGGGTAGTTGGGAAGACTACTTACCCTTGGTTGAGTTTGCCTACAACAACAGTTACCAGACCAGTATTGGTATGGCACCTTTTGAGGCATTGTATGGCAGACCTTGCAGATCTCCAGTTTGTTGGACCGAGGTAGGTGATGCAGTCACCTTGGGTCCCAATATTGTCTTTGAGACTACAGAAAAGATTAAGTTGATTCGGCAGCGGTTGGCTACAGCTCAGAGCAGGCAGAAGAGTTATGCCGATAAGCGTAGGAGATCCTTATCTTTTGAGGTAGGGGACCATGTCTTTCTCAAGATTTCTCCACGAAAGGGACTTCTGAGATTTCGGTAGACAGCCAAGTTATCTCCTAGGTACATTGGACCATTTCCGATTTTGGAGCGCGTCGGTGAAGTTGCTTATCATTTGGCGTTACCGCTAGACCTGGATAGGGTTCACAACATCTTCCATGTATCTACGTTGAGGAAGTACGAGCCGGATCCATTACATGTTTTACGGTGAACAGATGTTGTTGATAAGGATGTGACCTACGAGAAGGGTCCAGCCCAGATTCTTGATTCACGGGAATAGGTCTTGCGAACCAAGACCATTCCATTGGTTAAGGTCTTATGGAGACATCACGGCATTGAGGAGGCTACCTAGGAGCTTGAACAGAGGTTCACTCCCGGTATCCCAATTTGTTATCTCTTTCAGGTACTACTCGATTTTGAGTACGAAATCCTTTTAAGGAGGGTAGGTTGTAATGACCTGATCATTTTTCTCCCTTTCCTTTTTTGGTGATTTTC